GTGTTCCGTGTCCGTGTGTCAGGTTCTGCGAGCGAGGACGGGGCTCTGTATTACGACTCGCTCATAGACGCTCTGTTGGCGTCTGGGATCCGGCCTCTGGTTTCTCTGTTTCACTGGGATCTTCCTCAGACGCTGCAGGAATCTGGAGGCTGGACCGACCCGTCCATAGTCCAGGCCTTCAGGGACTACGCCGACTTCTGCTTCTCCCGATACGGAGACCGAGTCCAGGTGAGACGCACCTGACACCGACACACACACCACACGCACAATTCACTCTCACAGAGTCAAGTCAACATTTCCTCAGAGTTTCTCTGAGTCACTCTGTTCTAGAGTTAATTTAACATTTGTGTCAAAGTTCATGAAGTAAAACTGGACCAAAGTTCCTGTTTAACCCAAATCCAGAGTTAAATGAAGGTTTAGAGAGTAAACAGATAACACTTTGTAGAGTTGACCTGTGACCTCTCCGTGTGCAGGACTGGATCACCTTCAGCAGCCCCTGGACAGTGAGTCACGCCGGGTACGGCACCGGGGAGCACCCCCCATGGCGCCGAGACTACCAACGCAGCGCCTTCCAGGTACAAACAGCCCCAGTGCCAAGCGACGCTTGTGTGGCATAAATTGATTAGAGAAAAATAAGTCAGACTGGACCAGACTGGACTGGACTGGACTGGACTGTCTCAGAGTCCTGAGGCTCAGGTCTCTGGTGTCGTGGTGTAAATCCACTTCTCCTGCGTTGGATCTGGAGCCTCAGACTTTTGTTCAGTCTGGTTTAGCACAGCTCAGTCTGAGTCTGTCCTTTAGATCGGCTGAGCTCAGGTCCGTTCAGACTCTAAACCTTAATCCTTGTTTTTGTTTTGTTTGTTTCTCAGGCGACGCACAACCTGCTGAAGGCGCACGCCGAGGCCTGGCACCTGTACGACCAGCGTTACCGCGCCACGCAGAGAGGAGAGGTGGGCATCGCTCTCAACTCCGACTGGGCACAGGCCCTGGACCCAAACAACCCAGAAGACCAGGACGCCGCCCAGAGGTACCTGCAGGTAAAGCCACACCCAGGAACATCGCACACAGACGCCGCGGGAGAGAAAAACACAATGCGGAACATTACGCGCTCGCGGTGTAGGTCGTCCTGAGGATCCTGCGCGGTGTGACTCCGGTGTGTGACTCCGGTGTGACTCCTCGTTTCCACGGTGACTGTCTGTTTTTCAGATGATGCTGGGCTGGTTCGCTCACCCCATCTTCGTGGACGGCGACTACCCTCCGGAGCTCAAGTCCCAGGTGGAGCTGAAAGCCAAAGAATGTCCCGGAAACCCTCCGGCCGTTTTACCGCAGTTCAGCGCCGAGGAGAAGCTCCGCCTCAAAGGAACCGCCGACTTCTTCGGTTTGACGCATTACACGTCGCGCCTGGTCAGCCACAAGAGGGCGCCCTGCGGCGGCTCCGGCCCCGAGGCGCTCATGGACTACCAGACGCACGTAGACCCGACGTGGACGCCCACCGCCTCCGACTGGATCTACCTGAACCCGGGAGGACTCCGGAGTCTGCTCAAGGACATTTCAGAGAAGTATCTGAGAGAGAGGAGCGTGCCGCTGTACCTGACCGGAGTGGGGATGCCAACAGGGGGCGACGCCGAGCTGCTGCAGGACACCACCAGAGCTGAGTTCATCCGCCGCTGTGTGGACGAGGCGCTGAAAGGTCAGAGGTCACCTCCACTCACTAAATAATGATGCTCCACTCAGAGAGAACTTTCTAAAACTCATTCTGTTCTTTAAACTTTCACCTGCACGATTCCAGGAAACAGTGTCTTGTGTCTGTCCCTCGTGTGTCTCATGTGTCTCATGTGTCTCATGTGTCTCATGTGTCTCATGTGTCTCATGTCTCATGTGTCTCATGTGTCTCATGTGTCTCATGTGTCTCATGTGTCTCATGTGTCTCATGTCTCATGTGTCTCATGTCTCATGTGTCTCATGTCTCATGTCTCATGTGTCTCATGTCTCATGTGTCTCATGTGTCTCATGTGTCTCATGTGTCTCATGTGTCTCATGTGTCTCATGTCTCATGTGTCTCATGTCTCATGTGTCTCATGTGTCTCATGTCTCATGTGTCTCATGTGTCTCATGTGTCTCATGTGTCTCATGTGTCTCATGTGTCTCGTGTCTCATGTGTCTCATGTCTCATGTGTCTCATGTGTCTCATGTGTCTCATGTGTCTCATGTGTCTCATGTGTCTCATGTGTCTCATGTCTCATGTGTCTCATGTGTCTCATGTCTCATGTGTCTCATGTGTCTCATGTGTCTCATGTCTCATGTCTCGTGTGTCTCATGTGTCTCATGTGTCTCGTCTCATGTCTCATGTGTCTCATGTGTCTCATGTCTCGTGTCTCTGGTTACAGCCATAGTCCTGGACAAAGTGGACCTGCGGCGCTTCACGGTCGAGTCTCTGTTGGACGGGTTTGAAGGAGCTCACGGCTACAGTCAGCGCTTTGGTCTTCACTACGTGGACTTTACGTCTCCGGACCGTCCCAGAACGCCCAAAACGTCCGCCTACGTCTACTCGCAGATCATCGAACAGAACAGAGCCGGCGACGGCCTCAAGGCGGCGCGCTCCCCTCCGCCCGTCTCCTTCACGCCGGGACTGAAGAACCTGCCCGCCTCACAGGTGCCCTCCCAGGCGTCAGTGGTGTGGGAGAAGTTCTCTCACTGGACAGAGTACCATAACAGACTGTATCATTTCGGAACATTCCCCAGCAACTTTCTGTGGGGAGTCATGTCCTCGGCCTATCAGGTCGAAGGAGCCTGGAACACTGAAGGAAAAGGCCCCAGTATCTGGGACAATTTTACTCACACACCAGGCCACGGTATCCCAGAGGACGGTAATGGAGATGTGACGTGCGACAGCTACAACAAACTGAACGAAGACATAAACCTGATTAAAGCTTTAGGAGTCAAGTCCTATCGATTTTCCATCTCCTGGTCCAGGATCTTTCCCGATGGCATGACTACAACGCCCAACGCTCCAGGTGTGGCCTATTACAATAGCCTGATTAACAGTCTGGTGGGTCTGGGCGTGGCTCCGGTGGTGACTCTGTACCACTGGGACCTGCCTCAGGCGCTGCAGAACATCGGCGGCTGGGAGAACAACCAAATCATCCAATATTTCAACGCTTATGCCGACTTCTGCTTCAAGACGTTTGGAGACAGAGTGAAGTTTTGGATCACTTTTAACGACCCGTTCTCAATCGCGTGGAAAGGCTACGGCAGCGGAGAGTTGCCCCCAAAACTCACTACGAACCCTGGAATGGCTCCGTATACAGCGGCACACAATCTGATCCTCGCTCACGCCACAGTTTACAAGACGTACGCCACATATCGTCCGACGCAGAAAGGCCTGGTCAGTATCGCTCTGCACGCAGACTGGTATGAGCCGCTGGACGTGAACACGCCCCGAGAGCTGGAGGCCGCAGACAGGGCCATGCAGTTCAGGCTCGGATGGTTCGCTCACCCCATCTTTAAGAACGGAGATTATCCTGAAGCCATGAAGTTTCACGTAGGAAACAAAAGCGAGATCCAGGGACTGGCACAATCTCGACTGCCGACTTTCACCCCGGAGCAGATGAACTTAGTCAAAGGAGCGGCCGACGTGTTCTGTATTAATCACCAAACCACCAAAAAAGCCAAATACGCAATCCTGCCGCACGATCCACCGTCGTACGGAAACGACTGGGACGTCGTAGAGGAGGAGATGTGGCAGTTCCCTGTCGTGGTGTCAAACGGCCCCCGTATGGTGCCCTGGGGCCTGAGGCGGGTCCTGAATTGGGTGAAGGAAGAGTACGGAAACCCCGAGGTGTACGTGACCGAAAACTCCATGCTCACCGTTAGAGAAATGGCCACAGACGACTTCGACCGCGTGTTCTTCCTCAAGACCTACATCGACGAGACGCTCAAAGGTACGGCTCACCCGTCCCACTGAACACTGACAACAACAACAAAAAAAACACTTTGAAACTTCTCCTGTAATTGACCCAGATAAATGTAGGACAAAAATTTGATATGTTTTTCATATAAAAATAAGGAATTTGATGTGTTAAAGGCTCAGAGCGTCTGTGACTCGAGTGTTACTTTAGTTTGTTATAATAAGTGTGTTTCTGGTGCAGCTCAGGCCGTGGACGGTGTACGTGTGAGTGGGTATGTGGGGGTTCCTCTCATGGACTCCTTCGAGTGGATGAGGGGTTTCATCATGGGCAGCGGTCTGTACCAGGTGGACTTCACAAACCCGGTTCGACCCCGGACGCAGAAGTACGCAGCCAACTACTACATGGACATCGTCAAGAACAACGGGTTCCCCGCAGGTCCCGATGACACTCCCTTGTACAACACCTTCAGAGACGACATGCAGTGGAGCTCAGCCACCGCCTCGTTCCAGGTACACAACTCCATGTTCACGTTTACGCCGCATTTACACCTAAAGCAAACCTAAACCTTCACATTAGTTTGACTTGTGGACCTTTGGTGATTTGTAATAATCATGGACGATGCCTGAGTTTTAATCCCGTCCAAATGCTCCACGTCTGTCATTTGTAAAATAAAAATTCCACCGTAAATGGCCGACAATATTTCACCAAACACATGTGATAAAACTCGTCCTCCTCTCTCTTCTTCTTTACGCCACTCTTTACTCTCTTCTCTTTTCGCTCTTCTCTCCTTCTCCTCCTCTCAGATCGAGGGCGGTTGGCGTGACGACGGTAAAGGTCTGAACATCTGGGATAAGTTTTCTCACACTCCAGACAAAGTGAAGAACGGCGACACGGGTGACGTGGCCTGCGACAGTTACCACCGCACGGCCGAGGACGTGAGCATGCTCCAGCACATCGGCGTCAAGTACTACCGCTTCTCCATCTCCTGGTCCAGAGTCCTGCCCGACGGCACAACGGCACACATCAACGAGCCCGGCGTGCAGTACTACGTGACACTGGTGGACACTCTGCTCCAGGCCGGAATCCAACCACAGGCCAGTACCAGACCGGGACCAGACCAGGACTAGACCGGGACCAGACCGGGACTAGACTGGGACTAGACCAGGATTGAACTAGGACTAAACCAAAGACTAAACTGGGACTGAACCGGGACTGACCCAGGACTAGACAGGGACTAAACTAAAGACTAAACCAGGACTAAACTAAAGGACTAAACCAGGTCTAAACCAAAGACTAAACTTGCTGGTTCTGGTTCTGCAGATCACGCTGTACCACTGGGACCTCCCTCAGGCGCTCGAGGACATCGGCGGGTGGCAGAACGTCTCCATGGTAAAATATTTCACAGATTACGCCGACCTGATGTTCACCCGCCTCGGGCCCAAAGTCAAACGCTGGATCACCTTCAACGAGCCGTACATCGTCGCCAACCTGGGCTATGGCTACGGAGTCTTCGCCCCCGGTGAGAACCACTTTACCAGAAACTCTTTAAAGACGTGGAGTAAGAAAGTGACGTGTGACGTCACTCGTACAGTTCAAATCTGACCACGAGCAAGTTTAGAGACTCATTCACAGAGACATTCAGGTCACTACACTCAGGTCATGTGCAGGGTGACCAGATGTCCCTGTGTCCCCGGGACAGTCCCAGACCTGAGTCTGTGTCCCCCGTCCCACAGATTTATACTAAACCACTGATTTGTCCCAGTTTATACAAGAAATGTGTCTCTATTTTGGACCAATCTCATTTAAACCAGGACTAAACTAAAACTAAACCAGGACTACATCAGGTCTAAACCAGGACTATCACAAATTTAATTTGTGACAGTAAAGAGGAGCATAATTGTCATTTGTTTGGCCAAAATAAAGAAATCTGTGTTTGCGAACGACCATAAAGTAAAAAAACACAGCGACAGAAGTTCCTCAGATTATGACACGAGAAGCTCAATGTTCCAGCTCTTTTCACAGTTTTATTCACACCAAAGATCCCAAACCAGGTGTGTCCATGTTTAGACTTTTGAAAATCTGGTCACTTTATCCCAGTGACGGCATAATTTTGAGAGCACAATATTTTTTGTGACCTAAATATCTCCTCATGTGAGGAGGAATAGTGTGGACAGAACCTTCACTGAGCCTCTTCAACTGTCCGTGCTGAGACTGGGACCAGTTCTGAATGGATCCTAACCGGTTTTGTTCCTCGTAGGGGTCAACAACGCCCCAGGAGAAATCCCGTACGTCGTGGCTCATCACCTGATCAAAGCCCACGCCGAGGCCTGGCACCTGTACAACGACAAGTACCGAGCGTCTCAGGGAGGAGAGATCTCCATCACGCTGAACGCCGACTGGGCCGAACCTCGCAACCCGCACAAGCAGGACATCACTGCCACCTACAAATATGTAGAGGTACTGCACAAACACCACGTCACAGACTCTCCTGCCCGCTCCACAGACCCGCTCTCCTAACCCCAACCTTAAACCTAAACCCCAACCTTAAAGCTAAACCCTAAACCCTCACGAATCTTCTCTCTCACTCTTGTTCTCGTCTGCAGTTCTTCCTGGGCTGGTTCGCTCATCCCATTTACATCGGAGACTACAGTCAGATCATGAAGGACACCATCAGGAACAGAAGCCTGGCACAAGGCTACACCAAGTCCAGGTGAGGAAGACCGGCGCAAGTCTTGGTTTAGTCCTGGTTTAGTCCTCGTTCAGACTCAGTGTTCTGTTTATAAAATGAACATTACCGTATTATCTGGAGTATAAGTCGCTCCAGCCAAAGAATATGTAATGAAGAAGAAAAAAAGAGAACACTGTGTCGCTGTCGTCAGACTCACTTCTAGTTAGAATTACTGGGGCCTTTCTGAATCCCGACAGGATGGTTTCTCTGTCACTGAAGTCACTTCTAGTAAATGTTCAATAGTCGAGTGGTGCAGAAGTAACGGTGCGATCGACAGACATGATCCAGACAGAACAGAGGCTCTTTCTGCAGGAGACATGCGCAGTAGAGTGAAGTGACAGTGGTGCAGGAGGAACAGGAGCAGCAGATCCTCACACACAAGACTAGAACCTCTCCACACTTCACCAAAAACATCTGAATATAGAATCACACCGAGAATAAGTCACAGAAACACACAAACCATGAACAAAAGTCACACTTAAAATCTGAAAAACACAGTAATCTGTTCAGATGTTGTGTTTGTTTCACGTGTTTCTCATGTTCTTTCTCTTGTTCCATGTCAGACTGCCGGAGTTCACCCCAGAGGAGATCCAGAGGATTAAAGGCACTCACGATTACTTTGGTCTGAACCACTACACCACCAAACTCATCTTCCCCATCAACTACGCCCAGGAAGATCCAACCTACGACGCCGACAGGTCAGAACCCTCACGCCGACCGCACTGCAGCTCAGTCCAGTTCAGTCCAGCTCAGTCCAGCTCAGTCCAGTTCAGTCCAGCTCAGTCCAGCTCAGTCCAGTTCAGTCCAGCTCAGTCCAGCTCAGTCCAGTTCAGTCCAGCTCAGTCCAGCTCAGTCCAGTTCTGTTCAGTTCAGTCCAGTTCAGTTCAGTCAGGCCAGTTCAGTCCAGCTCAGTCCAGCTCAGTCCAGTTCTGTTCAGTTCAGTCCACACTAACACACACAGACGTAGCCTCATAAACAGAGACGTGTGACGAAGTTTTCTCCTCATTTGTAAAGAGTTTAACACGACACATCCACCTGCAGCTCCAGCAACACGTGGAGACTTAAAACTGACTCTGACAGAATCATTTTTAACTTTTCCTCAGGGCACTTCCCATAAAATGTAGTTGTTTTTACCTGAAAGTGTTCTTGTGTAAACAGGCCCTGAGTTCCAGAGGAGTTTCAGTGTAGTTAGCTCCTCCTTCAGGCAGATTTAAGAAAGTTTAAAGCTTAGATGAGCTGAGAAACGTTTTCAACCTAAATAAACGTTTGTCCAGTTGACAAAATCCATTTCTCCTTTGTCAGTTTTTAAAAGGAAAAAAGAAAGAACAGAGAGAGTTTCTCTCGCCAACACAGCCAAAGGAAGTCGTCATCCGCGGGTTTCCAAACGTGTGTGGGCGGGGCTTACATCGAGTGTGGGTGGGGCTTAGAGTGTGTGGGCGGGGCTTACAGCGAGTGTGGGTGGGGCTTAGAGTGTGTGGGCGGGGCTTGCTGCGTGTGTGGGCGGGGCTTACGGCGTGTGTTGGTCTTCCAGGGGCGTGGGAGCCGTAGATGACTGGAGCTGGCTGGAGTCTGGCTCCTCGTGGCTCAAAGTGACTCCGTTCGGGATCAGGAGGCTCCTGAAGCACATCAAAGACACGTACGGAAACCCCCAGATCCTCATCACCGAGAACGGAGTGAGCGAGAAAGGAACCGTGGACCTCAACGACCTGGTGCGCCAGTACTACTACAACAACTACATCAACCAAGTACTCAAAGGTACTACTACTACTACTACTACTACTAACAACTACATCAACCAAGTACTCAAAGGTACTACTACTACTACTACTACTACTACAACTACATCAACCAAGTACTCAAAGGTACTACTACTACTACTACTACTACAACAACTACATCAACCAAGTACTCAAAGGTACTACTACTACTACTACTACTACAACAACTACATCAACCAAGTACTCAAAGGTACTACTACTACTACTACTACTACAACAACTACATCAACCAAGTACTCAAAGGTACTACTACTACTACTACTACTACAACAACTACATCAACCAAGTACTCAAAGGTACTACTACTACTACTACTACTACTACTACTACTACTACTACTACACTACAACAACTACATCAACCAAGTACTCAAAGGTACTACTACTACTACTACTACTACTACTACAACAACTACATCAACCAAGTACTCAAAGGTACTACTACTACTACTACTACTACTACTACTACTACTACTACTACTACATCAACCAAGTACTCAAAGGTACTACTACTACTACTACTACTACTACTACATCAACCAAGTACTCAAAGGTACTACTACTACTACTACTACTACTACTACTACTACTACCAGAGGTGGGACATGCAGGTCGTGACTTGGACTCGAGTCAGACTTGAGTCACTATTTTTAGGACTCTTGAGACTTGACTTGATAAACTGGACTAAGACTTGGGACTTGACTCGGACTTGAGGCCTGTGACTTGAGAATCACTTTTAAATCTGGATTCTTTCTGTTCTGATCTTGTCAAAACATTTAAAAATAAAAATGTACATTTCTAAAACATTTCTAAATACTCATATGTAAATATTCTCTGACTTTTTAAGAACAGTTTAGTTTAAAATTCATAAAAATATAAAAAATCTAAACTATTCTACGTTGTCGTTGTCGTTGTGTGGTCGTCTCGGTGCAGCTCGTGTTCTGGACGGCGCCGACGTCCGGGGCTACACCGCCTGGTCGCTCATGGATAACTTCGAGTGGGCGGAGGGATACGGCGAGCGCTTCGGTCTGTTCTTCGTGAACCGGTCTGACGCCGGACTCCCCCGGACCCCCAAAGTCTCGGTCCAGACCTACTCCACCATCATCAGGTGCAACGGCTTCGTCGACCCCAACTCAGGCCACCCCTGTCTGCAGGCCCCAGGTAAGACCTGGTTCAGACCTGGTTTAGACCTGGTTTAGACCTGGTTTAGTTCTGCTTTAGTCTTGGTTTAGTCCTGGTTCAGACCTGGTTTAGACCTGGTTTAGACCTGGTTTAGTTCTGCTTTAGTCTTGGTTTAGTCCTGGTTCAGACCTGGTTTAGACCTGGTTTAGTCCTGGTTTAGACCTGGTTTAGACCTGGTTTAGACCTGGTTTAGACTCAGACTGACCTTCCTTTGTGTCTACAGTGTTGACCACGACCGCTCAGCCCGTCACGTTCGCGCCGCTGAACATCCTGGGCATGAAACTGAGTCCCGCCGAGGCCGAGACCGGGTTCAACACCACCTTCGCCCTCATGATCATCTCGTTCGCCGCTGCTCTGGGCGGCGCCGTGGGCATCTTCATGATGCGACGCAAACACAAGGACTAAGAGACGCAGAGAGACCTGCTCAAGACCTGGTTTAGACCTGCTTTAGTCCTGGTTTAGTTCTGCTTTAGTCTTGGTTTAGTCCTGGTTTAGACCTAGTTTAGTCCTGGTTTAGACTTGGTTTAGACCTAGTTTAGACCTAGTTTAGTCCTGGTTTAGACTTGGTTTAGACCTAGTTTAGACCTAGTTTAGTCCTGGTTTAGTCCTGGTTTAGTCCTGGTTTAGTCCTAGTTTTAGTCTTGGTTTAGTCTTGGTTTTAGACCTGGTTTAGTCCTGGTTTAGACCTGGTTTAGTCCTGGTTTAGTCCTGGTTTAGTCCTGGTTTAGTCTCTGCGCACAAACAGAATGTGAATACATTTTTTTTTCAAATCCTCCTGAGCCGTGTTTTGCCGAGCGTCGTCGTCGTCGTGGGTTTGTGAGGAGTTTGTACAGAACGTTCTCGTCGTTCTCGTCGGGCTCGTCGTTCTCGTCGTTCTCGTCGGGCTCGTCGTTCTCGTCGGGCTCGTCGTTCTTCTGTCGTGTAAATAAACGTGATGTTTTCTCTGAATCATTATTACGGAACCTTCTGGAAATCGCTGAACTGCTGCCATGTTTAATGTATTTATGTTAAAGTATGATTCATGCAAACTGTATTTTGCTTTATTAAAAGTCTGTTTTATCTCATCAGTGTATTTGAATTTGAATTTATTTGTTTGGAGACGTGTCACCATCTGGTTTTCAAGGAGGTCCTCATAAATACAACAACAAAAGACAGATACAGACGGACAGACAGAAGGAGACAGAAACTCAAATAAACATCAAAACAACAAAATCAACACAACCACAAACACACAACCACAAACACACACACACACACACACACACACACACACACACACACACACACACACACACACACACACACACACACACACACACACACACACACACACACACACACACACACACACACACACACACACACACACACACACACACACACACACACACACACACACACACAGTCACAATCACTCACGCTTGACTGTTTCACACATAATAAAACAAATTTGAAATAAAAAATAAAATAATAATAATAATAATAATAAACAGAGTTCAAAGATAATCACAGGATACAACAAGATAAACAACAAAATTCAACAAAATAATTAAAATAATCAAAAACAATCACATGGTTTATGTAAATGTTGAACCAGAGCATTTTTAAATAAAGGGACAGAAGTTAAAGCACGAATTGATGAGGGAAGATTGTTCCAATCAGAAGCAGCTTTATATTTAAATGAATATTTTCCAATTTGTTTTTTGACTCTTGGGACGACAAAAAATATCTGATCTGCAAGACGTAAACTATAAGAGGATCTGAATGGAATTAAATACTGTTTAAGATCTTCAGGAAAACTGAGATTAATACATTTAAAAATAAATAATAACCAGGTGTGACTCTGGTCTTAATCCGACACTGATCCTCTCAGAGCCAAACATATTTAAATCAGAATAAAACTGTAAAAATGTTATAAATAATGAGTTAAACTGAACACCAGACGAGGAAGCATCAGATACTTTGGAATATTTAAGTATTTGGAATATTACGGTTCCTCTTTGTCCACTTCTCGTGAACAGTGTTGGGAAGTTTACTTTTAAAATGTAATCCCCTACAGATTACAGATTACACACCCCAAAATGTAGTTTGTAACAGAATCCATTAAATTACTTTAAGTGAGTAATGTAATCTGATTACTTTGGATTACTTGATTTGCTGTAGAGAAACAAAGAGGAGGAAATCGTCTCATAAGATGTTTTATGTGATAAAAGAAAATAAAAAGATGTTAAATCCTGTTTTAGACCTGGTTTAGACCTGGTTTAGACCTGGTTTAGACCTGGTTTAGACCTGGTTTAGACCTGGTTTAGACCTGGTTTAGTCCTGGTTTAGACCTGGTTTAGACCTGGTTTAGTTTCCGGCAATGAGAATGAAAACAGTAAAATTCCTCTGTGTAATCCATTTATTTCAACAAAGTAACTGTAATCCAATTACCACTCACTTAAACAGTAACTGTAACTGAATACAGTTACTCATCATTTGTACTCTGATTACTCCAGTACATGTAATCTGTTACTCCACAACACTGCTCATCAGACACACAAATATCTTATATTCCTCTGTTTATTTTCAGTCTGAGTTTGTCATTATAAACATTTCCTGTTATCGGACATTTTCAGTTATTTAAATAAAACTCCCCTCCTTGAACCGTCACCTTATCGTGGTGGAGGGTTTGATGCCCGAATGATCCCGGGAGCTCTGTTGTCGGGGGCTTCATGCCCCTGGTCACCCAAGGCAAACAGGTCCGGGGGGACGGACCAGACGAAGAACGGTTCAGAAGCCCCATATGATGAGCAACACAGAGGCCAGTTACGTCGCCCGGATTGGCGTCACCGGGGCCTCACCCTGGAGCCAGGCCTGGGGTGGGTGCTCGCCAGCGAGCGCCTGGTGGCCGGGCCTTCCCCCACGGGGCTCGGCCCGAAGGAGCGACGTGGGGCCGTCCTCACGTGGGCCCACCACCCACTGGAGGATCCATATGGGGCCGGTGCAGAGAGATCTGGGCGGCAGTCGACGGCGGGGGCCTCGACAACCGGATCTCCAGACATGGAGACTGTGGCTCTGGGGACATGGAATGTCACCTCGCTGGGGGGAAGGAGCCTGAGCTTGTGCAGGAGGTTGAGCGTTACCGACTAGATATAGTCGGCCTCACCTCCACGCACAGTTTGGGCTCTGGAACCAACTCCTTGAGAGGGGCTGGACTCTCCATTTCTCTGGCGTTGGCCGCGGGGAGCGGCGGCGGGCTGGTGTGGGGGGGTGGGGCTCATTGCCCCACAGCTCAGCCGCTGTGTGTTGGAGTTCACCCCGGTGAACGAGAGGGTCGCGTCCCTGCGCCTTCGGGTCGGGGACAGGTCTCTCTCACTGTGGTGTCGGCCTACGGGCCGAACAGCAGTGCAGAGTACTCGAGTACCCGCCCCTTCTTGGAGTCCCTGGGAGGGGTACTAGACAGTGCACCGACCGGGGACTCCGTTGTTCTCCTGGGGGACTTCAACGCCCACGTGGGCAACGACAGTGACACTTGGAGAGGGGTGATTGGGAGGAACGGCCTCCCTGATCTGAACCCGAGCGGTGTTTTGTTATTGGACTTCTGTGCTAGTCACAGTTTGTCCATAACGAACACCATGTTCGAGCACAAGGTCCATAAGTGCACGTGGCACCAGGACACCCTAGGCCGGAGGTCGATGATCGACTTTGTAGTCGTGTCATCTGATCTCCGGCCGTGTGTCTTGGACACTCGGGTGAAGAGAGGGGCTGAGCTGTCAACTGATCACCACCTGGTGGTGAGTTGGTTCGCTGGTGGAGGAGGAAGCCGGAAAGACCTGGCAGACCCAAGCGTGTGGTGAGGGTCTGTTGGGAACGTCTGGCGGAGCCTCTGTCAGAGGGACTTTCAACTCGCACCTCCGGGAGGACTTCTCCCAGATTCCGGGGGAGGCTGGAGATATGGAGTCCGAGTGGGCTTCATTCTCGGCCTCTATTGTCGATGCAGCTGCTCGGAGCTGTGGGCGTAAGGTCTGTGGTGCCTGTCGCAGCAAATCCCCGAACCCGGCGGTGGACACCGGAAGTAAGGGATGCTGTCAAGCTGAAGAAGGAGTCCTATCGGGCCTTGTTGGCTCGGGGGACTCCTGAGGCAGCTGATGGTACCGGCGGGTCAAGCGTGCTGCAGCCCGTGTGGTCGCGGAGGCAAAAACTCGGAGCTGGGAGGAGTTCGGGGAGGCCATGGAGAAGGACTATCGGACGACCTCAAAGAGATTGTGTCAAACCGTCCGGCGCCTCAGGAGGGGAAAGCAGTTCTTCACCAACACTGTTTACAGTGCGGGGGGAGAGCTGCTGACCTCGACTGGGGACGTTGTCCGACGGTGGAAGGAAAACTTTGAGGATTTCCTCAATCCCACCGTCACGTCCTCCGAGGAGGAGGAGGCCGAGGCTGGGGACTCGGAGGCGGACTCATCCATCACCCTGGCTGAAGTCACTGAGGTGGTTGGCAAACTCCTTGGTGGCAAGGCTCCGGGGTTGGATGAGATCCGTCCTGAGTATCTTAAGTCTCTGGATGTTGTGGGTCTTGGCTGACACGCCTCTTCAACATCGCGTGGCGGTCGGGGACAGTACCTCTGGACTGGCAAACCGGGGTGGTGGTCCCTCTGTATAAGAAGGGGGACCGGAGGGTGTGTTCCAACTATAGGGGGATCACACTCCTCAGCCTTCCCGGTAAGGTCTATGCCAGGGACTGGAGAGGAGAATCCGGCCGATAGTCGAACCTCGGATCCAGGAGGAGCAGTGTGGTTTTGGTCCTGGTCGTGGAACACTGGACCAGCTCTACACTCTCCATCGGTGCTCGAGGGTTTATAGGAGTTTGCCCCAACCAGTCCACATGTGCTTTGTGGATCTGGAGAAGGCATTCGACCGTGTCCCTCGTGGTGTCCTGTGGGGGGTGCTCTGGGAGTATGGGGTCCGGGGCCCTTTGCTAAGGGCTGTCCGGTCCCTGTATGACCGGAGCAGGAGCTGTGTTCATTGCCGGCAGTAAGTCAGACCTGTTCCCGGTGCATGTTGGACTCCGCCAGGGCTGCACCTTTGTCACCGGTTCTGTTCATTGTATTTATGGACAGAATTTCTAGGCGCAGTCAGGGGCTGGAGGGTCCGGTTTGGGGACCACAGGATTTCATCTCTGCTGTTTGCAGATGATGTTGTTCTGTTGGCTTCATCGAACCAGGACCTGCAGCACTGGGGCGGTTTGCAGCCGAGTGTGAAGCAGCTGGGATGAAGATCAGCTCTTCTAAGTCTGAGGCCATGGTTCTCGACTGGAAAAAGGTGGCTTGCCCTCTCCGGGTGGGTGGGGAGTCTTTGCCTCAAGTGGAGGAGTTCAAGTATCTCGGGGTCTTGTTCACGAGTGAGGGAAGGACGGAGCGTGAGAT